GGTGTGTCTTGGGCTTTGGTTCATCCTGTAGCCTCCCCTCCTTCCTTTCCGGGGGCAGCAGGACCCCTTCAGGACCCCGGAGTGCATGGTTGGGTTCACCCTGAGCTCTAGGCCAGATCTGAGCACTCCTGACTGGACTGGCTGAGGGAGCCAGGTCTGGCTGGGTGCAGCAGGGAGCGGGGACACTGGGTCATTGTTTGCTGACTTCCAGGCCCACCCATGCCCCCAGCCAGGCTCGTCCTGTTGGGCAGTGTGGGCTAACATGTGACCTGCCTCCTACCTGTCCACTCAGGTCTGCTTTCTCCAACATTCCAGGCCTCAGTCCCTTGTCTTGCTGGCCAAGTCGGGGCTGGATTTCTGAGAGGCCACACTGTGATAAGGTACATTCTAGTTGCCCTGTGTTTCCTGCTGCCCCAAAACTGATCCAGTAAGATGTGTGGAATGCACTAAGGAGCCCTGATAGAGGGTTTGGGGCCTGCCACCACCATGTCACAGGTACTGCCTGAGTCCCGAGGAAGAGGTGAGAGGGCAGGCTCCAGCCCCTTCAGAGACAAAGCCTGTGGGTGAGGCAGGGAAGAGCCCATGTCGAGGAAGCAGAGCAGGCAGCGTGTCCCACAGGATTCTGCTGGGTGGGCCGCAGGGCCAGAGCCACAAGAGGCAAAACTGGGCAGCCAGTGTGGGCAGGAGCCATGGGAAGGGTGTCGTGGAGGAGGAGGAAGTCTCCATTACCTCAGAGGTGCCAGCAACAATCTGGCAGTGTCAGGGCTGAGGTGGGGGGAGGCCGTGGCCCTGGTGAGCCCCTGCCTAAGCACACGAGGCCTGTGTGACAGCATCCCAGCACAGGGTCGAGGCTGAGGGGACTCTGAGGTGATGCTGGACCCATCCAGGAAAACATCCGAAATAGTATGGCCCAAAACTCCCAGGACAGCCCGCATTACTACCTCGGCCTGGGCTTCAGACTGGCACCCTCCCAGGAAGTGGCCAGTAACACAAGCTGGGCTCTGCTCTGGCCACCTGGTGCCCTTCCAGGGGGCCGCTCACACCTCCCAGACCCAGCCTTGCACTGAATCCTCATCTCTACTAATAAGCATCAGTTTCCAACAAATCGCATAATTGCTGTATCCCCAGGTCTTTATTTTTGATTTCCCTTTTATCCTTCTACCATTCTGCGATGTAGCTAACAGACAAAAAAGTACACAGAACACGTCTGTTCTCTTTTAACAAACGGAGTCAACGCCTGTGGAACCACCACTCATCACTCCGGCCTCCCCCCAAAAGGTCATCACTGCCACTCTGTTTCTTTACCTTTGACTTTTGCAATAAACATTTCATTTTTCTAGTTTTACCACCTGTGTAGCAATCTCCAAGCAAGAATTCACTTGTTAACTTTACATGAAGGGAATCAGAAGATGTGATGGCTTGTTTCATTCGCTTGAGGTTGGGAGTCACCGGTTGTACACAGCTCTCACCTGTTCCTCTTCACTGGTATTGATAGGCTGACAAAAGAAGGCTGCTGCGAACGTTCACACGGGTGCTGGTGCAGGTACGTGTCCCTGGTCACAGCCCCCGGAGTGGAACTGCTGCGTCACAGGGTGGGTCTTATCTTCATTTTTACTAGAAAACGCCCAAATGTTTTTTCCCAAGTGTTCATACCAATCTACACTCCCACCACCTGGCTCTCAGTTCCTCTTGCTCTGTTCCCTCATCAGCACATGGCATTGTCTAAAATTTTTGCCAGTCCAGTGAGTGTATAATGGCATCTCATTTGCATTTCTGATTACTAATACAATCCAGCACCTTTTCATAGGCTTATTCACCATATGGGTATCCACTCTGGCTGCCTTGTGGGCCTTCTACCCACTTTCCTATTGTGTTGTCTGCTTTTTCTTGGCTACAGACCTTTGTTATCTATGGGTGTTGCAAATCTCCTTCCCCACCCTGGGTTAGTCTCCTCTCTCTCTTTATGGTATCTTTAGATGAGCAAAGTTTCTATTAACGGAGTTGAATTTATCAACTTTTTAGTTTTTGCTGAGGAAGATTGTCCCTGAGCTAACATCCGTGCCCATTTTCCTCCACTTTATGTGGGACACTGCCACAGCACGGCTCGATGAGCGGCGTGTAGGTCCGTGCCCGGGATCTGAACCCGCAAACCCCTGGCCGCTGAGGCAGAGCAAGTGAACTCAACCACTCTTCCACTGGGCCAGCCCCTATCAACTTTTTCTTCTTAATTTTTCCCTACTCTGAGATCATGAAAATTTTCTCATATTAGTCCGATTTTTGTATTTAACATCTGTCATTCTCTTCTCAGCAGACTTAAGCCATCTAAAGAAAATTCTGTAAGCAGTAGTTTCTCAACAACGCTCTGCTGAAGGAATGAAAGCCAAGCAGGCCTGGGTGCCCACAGCTAGCATCTCATCTGATCTTTACGACCACCTCATTTCCCAAGTGGGGAAACTGAGGCTCAGAGAGGAAGAGTGACAGGACTAAGGAACACAGGGCTCTCAGGTACATGGGCTTCCAAGTTACTTTCTGAGGGCCAGCCTGGCTACTTCCTAAGCAGTAAGTCCATGGACAAATTACTTAGCCTCTCTGAGCCCCTCGCTTCCTCACCCGTACAAGAGAAAACACTTTCTTATTGTGGAAGAAAAAATGTTTGCAAAGATCTTAGTTGTGAGGCTAGTTCATACTAAGTGTTCAACAAAGAACAGGATGAAAATGTACCAAATAAAAGTGTAACTCACTTGAGCCCCTAGCTGTGATGCCCATGCTCTTTCTGCCTCCCTATGAGAGCAGGACAACCAGCAAGAGCACTGCCCACTCCTCCAGAGGCCAGGAGAGCACATGAGGATGGGCAGGGGAACTCTTACCCACTCTTAGCTGGTCCACCCTCTTCCTGCCACCTCTCACTCCCACTGACTTTTCCTCCAGGTGCTGCCTAGCCCAGCTGTTGACTTCACTGACAACTGGAACACCACAGCCCATATGGATCCCAGGAAGAATCAACCCACACCCTCTCCCACATCACTAAGGGATTGAGACACTCCGAGGCACCTGCTGGAGGCCCATGTGGCTGGGGCGGCTGCCCTCCAGGCTGGGAAGGAAGCTGCTACTTTCAACCTGCACTGATAAGGAGGGCAGCACACCTGGTCAGTCTCTGGTGAAAAGGCGACTCCCAGCCTACCTGCTGTTCACACACGAAGCCCAGTCATGAAGGCCACTGACTTTATTGATTTAAAAAACTCTGTAAGGACAGTGACTGTTCTGCCAAAAAACGAGCCAAATGGCATAAAACAGACCACAGGTGAGGGTGGGAGTGAGGATAGGGGCCAGGAATCCACTCAGAAAAGCTGGTAATTGTCAACATGAAACTGGCAGGGGAAGGGGAAGGCAGGTGCATGCAACAGCGAGATTTCCAAAAAAGTTGAAATGGTGAAGGGAGAGAACTCCCCAAAGACTCGAGTACATCGGAGGTGAGACACAACAGCAACCTTTTCCTTTGTAGAGGACGGGAGAGGAGTCCCCACTTGGCTGCAAACTCTGGAGACTCAAGGCTAGGGCTGGGGTTTGGGGGCTCTGTGGGGAGCATCACAAGAAGGCGTCGCACCACTCTCGCAGGCACCCAAAGCAGTCCCGGGACTGCTTGGCGTTGGCGCCACACGTGTCCTTCAGCCATTCCCGGAAGAGGTCTTCATCTTTCTTTAGCACCAGAAACTGGCCAAGGACCACGTAGGCCTGCAAAACAGGCAAAGAGGAAATGCCATTAAGCACTCTGTGGGACTAAGAACAAGACCCTTAGTGTGGCATCAAAGCACAGGAGCCTGGGAGGCAAGGCAGGCTCTGGCTATGTCTTCAGATTACACACCCCCCACAAGTACACTCACATTCCTCACTCCCAAACTACAGGAAATATTGCAGTCTGTCCCTACCCGGCCCCCAGCCCTCCCCAGGTGCACGCAACCACCCCACACCTTGTCAAAGCCCCTTTCCTCCAGCTTCTTGCCCAGGACTTCACCAATCCCGGCCAAGCTCCCCACTGGCTTTTCCCCCATGGGCTCTGCCACGAAGTCTCGGTGCTTTTGAGAGGTTGTCATCTTGATCAGGCTGAATCTGGGAATCCCAAGAAAAGGTAGGTTAGGGCTGAAAACCTGGGCACTCCAGAAAGCCCATGAGCAATCTCATTAAGAGGAAGCTGAACCAGCCATGATGGTGGTTTTACTCGAGTCCCCTCATTTCACGGATGAGAAAATTGAAACCAAGGAGATTCTTTTCCCCACTATTCAAGAGAAATCTCTTCCGCTCCCCGTGGGAACTAGGTTTTGGTATTGTTCCAGAGGAAAATCTATCCTGCTCTAACAGGTGGCGCGCGCGGAGCAGTGGGAAGAGTCCCAGGGTGAGTAGCCAGGAGCCGCCCTGAGGCTGTCACTCCCTCTGTGACCTTGGCTGTGCAAAGAAGGCACTGGTTGTACCTGGACCGGCCACCTGCTCTGAAAAACGAGTGGTCGGCCTGCCCCACACGCCCCACAGCGCTCACAGGGCGCAGGCGCAGGCCGGAGCGCGCACACCCGCTCCTCCAGCCCCGCGGGGTCCCCGCCTGGGCTCCGCCCCCAGCGCGCCCCGCCCCGCCCCCTCCGCGCGCCTACGCGCCCACGCGCCGCCCCGCCCTCTCCCTGCATCGCGGCCAAGCCCTCTGCGAGGGCGCATCTTCCGTCCCGGCTGGCACATGCGGCCCCTTCCCTCCTCTCTTCCCCGCGCCTCCTCTGGCCTCCAGCCCGGGCCCCGCTCTGCGGCTCGCGCTCACCCGCGGCTCCCGTTCCCGTAACGGCTCCTCCCGCCACCGGCTGCTCCCGCCGCTACCTCAACCCACTAGAACTTTCTTCCACTTCCGCTTCCGGGTCGCCTCAAGAGCCGCCTTAAAAAAAAAAAAAACCCAAATTGGGCACTTCTAGCCGCCTAGAGCCATAGAGATGAGGCGCTCCGGAGCTCGACGGTGCCCTTAGTAGGCGCTTCTTTCTGGTCGCTTCGCGGGAAGCGGGGGTCCTTTCTATGATCTCGCTTCTGGGATAGCATTTCCGGTCTCAGGGAGCGGAGGCCTCGGAGGAGAAAACTTCATTTCCTCGCTGCCCGGCTCCCGGAACTCTAGGACTTAGCCTCGGCCGACCTGGCGGGGGGAAGAGTTAGAGAGACGGACAAGGGGCGGGGGCGGGGGTGGCCGAGAGCTTCCGAGAGCGCCGGAAGTACGGTGCTCGGAAGGGACCGACGCAGGCTGACTTGCGTTGTCCTCGTCGGCGTCGAGCTTGTAGGAGTCGGGAGGGATGCGGAGGTGCGGGAGACCTGAGTCCGAGTCGACACCACCGTCGTGACCGCCGGCAAGTCCCTTTTCTGTGCCTTCCTTGGCTCAGCTGCCAAGTGTGTCGTGGAGGAACCGCTCTTAGCTTCCAGCCTGGAGAAACGGGGTCGTTCAGGCAGCACTCGTGGGAGACGAGGGCCAGAGAGTAAGTGTGGGTCTCTCTCTGAGCGTCTTTCCTGCGGGATAGGGAGGGAGGAGGGGTAGGCGGGCAACTAGAGGTGACACTTCGGAGTTTCCTTTGGAAACCATCGATCTTGGTGGTACCAGTGCTTGTCTTCTCAGTAGCCAAGTCACAAATATCGCAGGTGCCGCAGACCAAGCCGGCTCACCCTGACTTTCAGTTAATTCATTCCTAGCTTGGACTATCGCGATGGTCTCCCGCCTGGTCTCTACCTGTAATGTGTTGAGAGATTGAGCATCTGTGTTGTGTGGCTATGCTATGCCTGTAATGTACAAGCGTGCTGAGAACGATACGATTTATCTCATCCTCCTTCCCGAGCTGTTACCAGAATGATTTATTACTCTAGAACACGTAGTTTTTATGATTATGCTAGTACTTACAATATGAGTTTTATGTGTCATACACCATGCTAAGGGCTCTCTTGTCATTTTCTCCTAATAACAATGCTTTGCGTTAGCTATTATTTTTTTTGAGGCCTAGGGAAGTTGAGCACCTAGGAATAGCCAAGATAGGGTTTGAATCGAAGCAATTGGATTTCAGAGCCGACATTCTTAACCAGGACGCTGTGTCACTCCTCAGTAAAAGGCTCCTCCTCATCTTCAAAACAGTTCTGGGTTCTGAGCCTGCTGTCCAAGAAACTCAGAAGGAGGAGTTGACAGTCTCTGCGTCCCTCACCTGCCTGGGACAGGACCCGGCATGTCTCAGGCCACCAAGAGGAAGCATGTGGTGAAGGAGGTGCTGGGGGAGCACATGGTGCCCTCTGATCAGCAGCAGATCGTGAGGGTGAGTGGCATTGGGCACAGGCTGCTCTGCCCACTACTCCTCCACTCCCATTGGGCCCCTGGGGTGAGAGCAGGGTGCAGTGTAGCTCAGAGGGTGTTCAAGCTGGCTGATCAGCCTGACTGGTTCTTGGTCTCTCCTGGACCAGGTACTCAGGACCCCAGGGAACAATCTGCATGAAGTGGAGACAGCCCAGGGGCAGCGCTTCCTGGTAAGCATGCCTTCCAAATACCGAAAGAACATCTGGATCAAGAGAGGTGAGAGAGGCAGCTCGGGGGGGGGGGGGGGGGCAGAACCATTTTCCTTGGCTTTGGCTTTCCCCACTGCCAGCGGGACTGACTGTCTTTTCTCCTCTTGGTGTTCAGGGGACTTTCTCATTGTTGACCCTATTGAAGAGGGAGAAAAGGTGAAGGCTGAGATCTCCTTTGTGCTCTGCAAGGACCATGTGCGCTCTCTGCAGAAGGAGGGGCTCTGGTAGGGTAGTCCCCTTGGTCTTTCTGGCTTCTGGGGGGATTGACTTCCTAGCTGTGGAACTGGGGGAGGGAAGATCATGGCATCCCAGGCGGGGACAGCTGGAAACAGCTTTTTGGCTGAAAGATTTCTCTTTCCTTTCTGACCCTGGCTCTTCTCTTGGCACAGGCCTGAGGCCTTCTCTGAAGTGGCTGAGAAACACAACAACAACAGGAACAGGTGAGAAACAAGCCTTGGGATAGGGAGGACAGAAAATAGGGGTTCAGGCCTTGGTGTCTTGAGGGAAAAATAGAGCTTTTCTTTCTCCCTACATAGGGTTCCTGGTGAGAACTCTTAAACGTGTGGTATAATATATGGTTACGAGCATGGCTTGAAAGTCAGAGGCCCTGGGTTAAAATCTTAGCTTTGCCACTTATAACTGAGTGACTTGAAGCAGTTTACTTAATCTCTTAAGCCTCAATTTCATCACCTTTAAAATGGGAGCTTTGGGGCCGGCCCAGTGGCATAGTGGTTAAGTTCACGCGCTCCCCTTCAGCAGCCCCGGGTTCACGGGTTTGGATCCTGGGCGCAGACCTACACACTGCTCATCAAACCATGCTGTGGTGGTGTCCTATATACAAAATAGAGGAAGACTGGCACAGATGTTAGCTCAGGGACGATCTTCCTCAAGCAAAAACAGAAAGATTGGCAACAGAGGGTAGCTCAGGGCCAGTCTTCCTCACTGAAAAAAAAAGAGGGTTGGGGGGAGCTTTGTGAGGGTTAAAGGAATCAGTGTTTATGAAATTGCTTAGTATAGTACGTGGTATATAACGTGGGTCCACTGAGTGTTAGTCAGTGGTGGTAGAATGGTTGTTATTAAAACCTGTGGCTCTAGCAAACTTTTGAGGGGGGTTGGGAGGTAGTCTTTAGGCTGTTTTTGCTCTGCCTCTCTCCTTGTCTGATTTGCGGAGCCCTGGCTGCTTGGCCATATGGTCCTCCTTTTTGTGGGCCTCCTTTATTGCAGATCTGGTTTCCCCAGAAGGCATTGGGCTAACTCTTTCTTTTTTCCCCATGTAGACAGACTCAGCCAGAACTCTCAGCTGAGCCGCAGTCATCAGGAGAAGAGTCCAGCTCTGAAGACGATTCCGACCTCTTTGTTAACACCAACCGCAGACAGTATCATGAGAGTGAGGAGGAAAGCGAAGAGGAGGAGGTGGCCTGAGACCCCAGAACCCACTTTTCCTCTTGCTCAGAGACTCTTTGGCTCCTCTGAGCATGGACATTCCCAGGGTGCTCTGCAGGTCTTCCCCACTGGATGGGGACAAGGCAGAGCCCCTCTCTGAACTGACCTTCTGACCCAGGAGAATTAAACCCCTGGTGGGTGGTGACTTGTGCTGGTGTCCGAGTCCCTTTCTGGAGGGAAGAGGGACTTGTGATGAAGTTAAAACCTGCTCCTTGGTGGAGGCCTCACGAGCAGGTGGGCTGAATGGGCAGGAAATGGGGAATAGCTGGAATTTTCCTAGGTTCTTTCTGTCTCTCATTGGGCACTTAGAAGGTGCCAGGCCCTGTACTGTGGCTCCTTGCATGTATTTAGTAACTGGGGACAGTCCCACTTCATTGCCTGCTTCTGGTTAATGCTGATTCAGGCATTCAGGATTACAGCCATAGGGCCTAGTGCCCGTCTGCCTCTGTGAGACACTCAGGACAAATTTCATAGCACCTCGTGAGTGCTTTCCCTGCCTTTCTACACTTTTTTTGTGTGAGGAAGATCAGCCCTGAGCCAACATCTGCCAACCCGCCTCTTTTTGCTGAGGAAGATTGGCCCTGGGCTAACATCCGTGCCCATCTTCCTCCACTTTACATGGGACACCGCCACAGCATGGCTTGCCAAGTGGTGTGTTGGTGCACGCCCGGGATCTGAACTGGCGTACCCTGGGCCACCGCAGCAGAGCACACGCACTTAACTGCTTGCGCCACCGGGCCGGCACCCTTTCCCTGCCTTTCTAGTCACCTGTGACGGCAGGAGTGCCCACCTCTATGCTACTAAGTACATCCCCTGGTTGGTGGCCTCCTTGTGGCTACTCAGACCGTCACTCCTCACCCCTCTCGCAAACCACATCATCTCGCTTTTCCTTTGAGTCTTTTACCTCTGGGTATGTACTCTCTCTTCATTGCTGGTATTGACCTTCACTGCTCAGTCGCTGAAGAGTTTACCTTCTGGCTTAGAGTCTTCTACCCCGGCTTATGTCATTATTTTCTACATCCCATGGAGGGTCTGTTCAGTGCTATGGCCCCGTAGTTCCTTGATATCTCATCACTAACACCCTTGTCTTCTCTTCCAGGCCTGCTGCCTACATGCCTAGTCACTCCCTGGACCCCTGACCTTGCTAGAAATTGCAGCACCTTTTGAATTCAAATAGCTGTACAGTCATTGCCTTCTGGCTTTCTTGCTTATGTACTTAACTACTGCCTCTGCAAGAATTATCTTCATCCTCCAAATCAGTCCTGCCACATTCTCACCATTATGCTCCTGTCTTCACTTCCCTCCTTGTGCAGCATCAGTTCCACAGTCCACCCCCTCCACTCTTTTGTCTCCCTCCATTGTATTCATCTGGTAAAACCCTAACCCTGGCCAGCCCAGTCATTCACCTCTGTGCCTGCACCCAAGTTACTGCCAGAGACAACAGCCAACCTGGCCTACTCGTTTTACCTTAAATTCATAATTACAAACCTCAGATGAGCAGTCAACACTGCCTAGCAGGTATTTCAAAACTTGTGTCATATCTGTCAATTCTCCCTTCCTCTGCTAGTTACCAACCACAGTTCTTACTTCATTGAGAAATAGTAGCCATTGGAGGGAACTCTCACCTCCCTATTACCAACATCGCAGATGTGCTCATGGATCTTCCTTTTTACTTCCCATTGTAATCCACTGGGACTTCAGCCTTTCCTCTTGTGCTTTGGAGCCTGTCTCTCCTCTTTCTTAAGGGCTTTTTGTGGGTTTTGTATTTTTGTCATCCTTTCTACTGCATGTGTGAGCATCAAATGTGCTGTAGTCTCCCATCTAAAAAACAACCAGGAAAACCTGTCACTGATCCCACATCCTCTCCAGCTACCACTTGGTTTATCTGCTCCTCAGTCACTTTCTCTTATGTTTGTTTAGTATAGCTTTAAATATATACACGTGTATAGGTACATGTGTATCTATACACATGAAAATGTATATGTGTGTATATATATACACAAAAACTAAACTTCAGATGAGTTGAAGAGTATATACACGTATCTATCTTTAACTGTTCTGAAGTTTATTTTTTATGGGAGATAGCTTTTTTTCCTAAAGGGCTAGCCGCTTGTCCCTGTATCATTTATTGAATGGGTCATTCTTTCCTCACTGATTTTAAATACCTTTTTAAAATAAACTAAACTCCTGCAGGTATTAAAATCTGTTTTTGCAATTTCTAATCTGTCCCGTTGGTCTAATGTACACATACTATATATTGTACCGTGATTGCTATCTCATAGCACCCTCACCCCTGCCCCTCTGTTTCTTGAAAGTTTCTCATTTTCTCTTACGTAAGAACTTTAGAACGAACTTGTCAATTTTGATTTAGAAGTCCTATTGAGATGTTCATTGGTATGGCTTTAAATCTCATAGTTTGATTTGGGGAGAAGTGGTATTTCAGTTGTGAATCTTCCTACCCGGAGATGAGGTATGTACGTTCTTTTGTCAGGTGTTGTCTTCATATGGGTCTTTTACATTTCTAGTTCGGTTTTAGTCCTAGCAGTTTTAGAGTTCTTTGTTGTTATGAATGGGATCTTTTGAAATTACATTTCTAACCATCACTGGCACATAGGACAGCTATCTCTGTGTGCTCACCTAGTTGATGTAGGTGAATTCTCATTAGTTCTAATAATTCAGTTCTCTTGGCTTTCTAGGTAGAGAGTCAAATCATATCCGACTAGTGGCAGTTTTATCGTATCCTTTACACTCATTTCTTTTTCTTGTGAATTAGAGGCCAGAACCTCCAGTACACTGTTGAATGGCACCCTCATTTGTTCCTGTCTTAGTGGGAGTGGTTCTCATGTGTCATCACAAAATGTGATTCTTGCTTTAGGTTTCTGGTAGATAACCTTCACTAGGCTGAAGATGTTTCCTTCTGTTCCTAGCTTACTGAGGATTTTTTTCCTTTAATCAACACTGATGAATTTCAACATCTATTGAGATAATCAGAAGATTTTATTCTTGTACTGATTTACATTAATAGGTTTCCAAATGTTGAACCATCCTTGCATTCTGATGTAAACACTGCTTAGTTTTATAGTATATTATTTAGGATTTTTGTTATCTATATTTGGGCCAACCTCACTTTTTATTTTAATGATCTCCCTGTCCCATTTTGATAATACCATTATGCTAGTTTTGTAGAATGGGTTTGGAGACATTTAATCTTTTTCTTTGGGCTTGAATAATTTCTAGGAAAGAAATGTGTTTCTTCAAAGTTTGGTAGAATTTATAAAAACATCTCTGTTTGATGCCTTTTTTAGGGGTAGATCTTTGACTGCCTTTTAATTTCCTCTGTGACATTTTATCAGGTTTTCTATCCTCAAGTCAATTTTGGTAATTTATACTTTTTTAGGAGCATGTATTTCATGTATATTTATGCTTTTCTGGGCAAAAAGTCATACATAGTATTTCTCTCATTTGGGACTTCTTATAAGTGACAAAATCTAACTTGAACTAGCAGATGCAAACAAGAGCTCACTGGCCTGAGGTCTAAGAGTACAGCTTTGGGCAGAGCTGATGCAGGGCCAGCATGATTTCATTAGGGCTCTCTCATTTGTTTCTCAGATCGTCTCTGCTCCTCTTGGTTGATCAATCCCTTTCTCCCTACAGGTGTTTTTTGCAGGAAGCTCCAGTTTATACTCAGTCCTTACAAAGAGTTCCCTCTTCAGCATTGTTGTATTTCTGGGAAGACTGATTGGTCTTGCTCAGGTCACTTGCTCTTTCCTGAGCAATCACTGTGGCCAGGGCTGAGTAGGGGGGATAGAAGATTGGGGGGAGGCAAGGTGAGCCACATCTGATCCATGTGACATGCATTTCCCACAGAATGGAATAAGGGGGCAAGAAGTGAGAGCAGATAAACCCAACAAACGTTTGTCCTGTGTTCTGTGTATTTTATTTTCTTTGACTAGCTTTGCAAGATGTCTGTTGACTTTATTAGCCTTTTCCTTCTGTTTCTTTGGGTTTATTTGCTCATTTCTAGCTTCTTGAATTGTATGCTTAACTTAATTTCAGTCTTGTTTTTTAACATATTTAGGGCTATAAATTTTCCTCTAAATACTCCTTTGGCTGTTCCCCATTTTATCATGTGTATCTGTGATTTTTTTGGCTTTGTATCTGTAAGCTTGGCCTTTTGTTTTTGTCCAGCCCTCAGTAAGTCTGTGATTTGCCTAATAACGTCTTCCGTGACCCCCCCCCCAAACCTTTTAATCTCCACTTCTGCATCTCTTATCAGCTATTTAGCTCCTGTGGGTTGTAGCTAAGAATCTTGATGGACATAGAGTTCTAGTATTCTGCATACTACTCCCCTTTGTCCTTCTCTGAAGCTGAATTCCACGTCTGTTCTCCCAACTGAGTGGTGGATTCCAACCACGGATGAATAGATCTCCCAGAATGAGCTGAGTGTTTTAAGAGCCACAGCCAGTCTGTGTGAGTGAGACTTGTGGCCCTTCAGACTCTGAGCCTCTGTCACTTTAGGGCCAACCTTTACAGCCAGGCCATTTTCCCTAGAGCTTCCCCATGCAGCTCACTGCATCCAGCCACCTGTATATGTGTGCGAGGCGTGCACACGGCAATCTGAGCTAGCCACGTGGTTTTTCTCCTTTAATCTGTAAATGTGGTGAGATATCTTGACAATTTCTCACATTAAGACGTCTTTGCATTCCTGGAATAAAAAAGTCATGATGTATTTTTGAATATATTGCTGGATTTGGTTTTCTGATATTTGGGGGTATTTTGGCATCCAGGCTCATAAGATGGTTTAAGCTTTCCCTTGTGTGGTTGTTATATCAAGATTATGCCAACCTCATAAAATGGGTTGGAGAGCATTCTTTCCTTGTATTTCCATTACAAGTGTTTGTATACGGTTGGAATTTTGTGTTTCTAAAATTTTCGGTAAAACTTAACTATAAAACCAACCATGCCTGGCATTTTTGGGGTGGGTGGGTAGATTTTTAACTATATTTTTATTGATAATAGATTGCTCACATTTTTGTTCTTGAGTCAGTTATATTTTCAAGGAAAAATATTTTCATGTATTCTCATTTTATCTGTGGTTTCAAATTTATTGGCACAAAATTGTTTGTAGAATTGCCTTATGTTTATAAC